GTATAGATAACTTGTAAGGCCTCATTTAGAGTACTGTGTACAGTTTTGGGCTCCCTTCCTCAAGAAGGTTGAATTGTTAGAGAAGGTTCAGAGAAGAGCCACTAGAATGATACTTGGGGTGGTGGGATTGTCCTATGAGGAGAAACTAAAATCTCTAAACTCGTTTATTCCGGATAGAAGGGTCAGAGGGGATTTGATTGAGGTGTTTAAGATCATTAAGGGTATTGATAATATAGATCCATCAAACCTTTTTGTGTTTAGCAGTAAAAACAATAGGACAAGGGGCCATAAATTCAAATTTGAGCAGTGTATGAGTTGTCTGCAGTTTGGACAGATTACTTTACAAACAGGGTGGTTGGCTTTGGAATGAGCTGCTTTCAAGGGTGGTGGAGGCAGAAAATTTTATTGTGTTCAAGAAAAGATTGGATGAATACAAGAGTAGTAAGGGGTGGTTATAGTTGGGATCTGGAAGGGACATCCTTGATGGGTTAATAAGCTCCTTTTTGTCCTTTTAAAATTTTATGAATGTATTTGATGATAGAGATTTTCAATATAAAATCTATCTGTGCTAGATTACTAAAATTAATAATTATTGTGGCTTGAAATATGATAATGTTTTGTAATGTTTAAATCTTATGAGGCTGCTAAGTTGTATATATTGATCCATTTATCATCTTTTCAGCCTTATGAAAGACACCCAATTCAACTTGAAAATTATCTTGCTTTTTTTTAGAATGTAATCACAATTAAAGTAAATATTTGTAGACATTTGACAGCAAATTTCTTTACACTTTAAAGGAAATGAGACCTCCTGAGATTAATAAACATTTAGTAACTGAATTAATACATATATTTGGTTTGATTGGTTAAAAGCAACAACTGATATTTACCTTACATATAGAAGAGAAAAGATAATTTGTATTTTAACTGTAGTAAGCAGTGGTGCAGAAGGCAAATTAAAGTGAGAGGACCCAAGGTTTATTTGATCGAGTAAAAGAAGGAAATGTGCACCACAGATGCACCCATTATGGCCAGGGTCCAGGGCTTGCCTTAGGGCCCCAAAATCTCTTGGGTTCTATATTAAATTTTATGCATTTATCTGCTTTTCCTAAGAGTAATTTTCAAAGTGAGGGGGGCCAGCCCCCCCCCCCACCCCCCAAATCATAGTATTATATGGATTTAAGCTGTAAAACAAGGACTGGTTTATATTCAAAAGACACAAAATATGCCTACTGTTAGTGTGAAGAGAGAAATAATGAATTTCTGTAGATTTTTCTTTGCTGTTACTTGTAGTAAAATAGACTTGTGATTTTCCAAATTACTTACATAGTTGCTTTCTTGTAAATTCTTACGAGTTTCTGGGTGAAAAAAAGTCACGTATTAGAATGTTATATTCTTCACTATAATATAAATACAGCATTCAGAGAATAGATTTACTTAAGTTTAATCTTGTTGTATTGCAGTTTCTGTAGAGTTATTTCAGTATATAATGTCTGTGAAATGAAAAAAAAAACTTTACTCTCTGGGAGTCAGTTTTGAGCTTTATTATTAATAAAGTAATAAACTTGCATTGTTTAATTTTAATGATTTTAGCATGTAGACCGGGGACACATGGTCCAAACTGCAAATATCTCTGCCAATGTAAACACGGTGGAGATTGTGATCGGGTGTCTGGTGACTGCCAGTGCTCTCCAGGCTGGCAAGGGCCATCTTGTGAGAAGCGTAAGTAACTTGATGTAGTCTGAACATAAATTATTATAAAGACTTCCTTTAGTTCAAGTTCAGGATAAGTTTAGTTTTGAGAAATCCATAGATTATGGTAGATTGTGCATTTGTAAATATTTTAGGGTAATAAAGGTTGTATTTTAATTGTAATTTGCATGAAAAACCTGGTACAGTAATACCCTGTTTAGTGCTCAAGAAGGGTTCCTGAGAACAGAGCTCTAAACGAATCAGCTCTAAACAGGATCATTTTAACATTATAAATATGCAGATATGTGACTAAAGGCATTTTTATTTACCTGTTAATGTTGTATAAGTGCTTTATTTAGGTACTGGTAAACATAAATTGTTACAGTACAGTATTATTTATTAAAGTAAATGAACACAAACAGTCTTAAAAAACAAAGAAACACATCAAACTGCTGTTGATTCACAAACTGGTGCTGAGCCCAGGGTGGAAGGCAGCAGGTACGTGAAGCAGTGGACATCATTTGGCTCTTCTCATCACAGAAAGAAAAAAAAGAGCAACCTATAATGATGATTGAAATGGTAATATGAGGTTGTAGTGGTAATGAGCTGGTTGCTATGGTAAAACTCACTGCAACACTGCCAGGCATAAGTGAACAGCTGACAACTACAGCCTCAAAATTTACCTTAAATTCACGTAAGTTTTATTTTTCCTTATGAACATTTTTCTTTTTTGACTACATTATTTATATGAGCCTCAACAGCATCATGTTACTGTAAGAAACTTTTAACATTTAGTCAATGTTTAGTCAACATAAAGTAAAGAAACGGAAGAGTGGGTAGGCCTAAACCATTCATGTCACTGCTGTGCCAGCCTGCTACTACACACAAATGCTTCAGTCAGTTCAACAGTACGTACTTATGGCATGCAATATGACTTACACACACAATGAAAATTTATGGAATAAAGATAAAAGGATTAATTGTTACTGTAAAATTGTTTAAACAATGACAACAATCAAAGGAAAGCAAGAGGTGCGTATACATGTGGGACCCCCACTGTGATTACGTAACTGCTCTGTTTCACTCCACCGAGCATACGTGATTTATTGACACATATTAACTAAATGAAAAGTGATGAAATAAAAATAAGAAATTTAAATGTAGCCTGGAATACTAACCTACAAACTGTACAGGAAGCAACATAACACAGCAGCGGTGGGAGATGATGTAAGACAGGTTACGTGTGGGAAGGGCTAGGCTGTGACTCTTCCTTATGCAGTGACGGCTTCTTCTTAAAGACGACTTCTTGTGAGGTTAACTGCCTGGCATCACCTCTCATGGAGCATTTCTTTGTAACAGGCAGTACCGCTGAGCATGATTCTCTTTGCATTGATGCTGCGTTCCCACTCTGGGTCATTCTACCTGTATTGGTCCATTATATGGGTGATCTGTTTGATACTTTCTTCCAAAATTGCATGTTATTATTCTATGTTCTTTGTTGCATTCTTTTATTAAACAGAAGCTCTCTCGTGAAAAAAAAAATCTCTCAAGGAGACAAGAGCTTTATAATGAATCAGCTTAAAGCGGGGTGGCACTAAGTGTAATATATATATATAGATATATATATTAACATTGTTTCATCTGTCCATTTACCATTTTTCCTAATAACCAACTAAGCTAATAATTATGGTATTATATTATAATTATCTTTGTAACACAATTTTCAGATTTTTGCTGAAGATGGAATAAGTTATTCCGAAACGTTCTAACCTTGTAAATAAAACGTTTTATGTTTTAGCAACTGTCTTCATCTTCATTATTAAAGTTCGGTTTCCCAATCATGAATCAATTATAGTTTAGTAGAAAGCTTTTCTTCTGGAATAATTATTCCAATTTTTGTCTCATTTCTTTTCCAAGCACATAAGTTGTGTGCAAATCTGTGTTAAAGAATATTATAAAATAAAGGGAAAATGCTTGTTTTTTGTGCAAAATGGAGTGAACAGTTTTAGTTTTTTATATTTCTATCTGTATAGAAACTTGGAATTGTTTGTTTAAAATTGCTGTGTTTAGATTTCTTATGTGCAGCTGTTTTACTGAAAATTAAGAGTTAATACTCTAGGTGTTTCTGTTGTTTTCTTACATATTTCAGCATGTCCACCAGGAAAGTATGGCAGCGGTTGCCGACTTGACTGTTCCTGTGAGAACGGTGCAACTTGTGATCACATCAGTGGAGCTTGTACCTGTGCTCCTGGGTGGCGAGGAACATTCTGTGATCGACCCTGTCCTGATGACTTCTATGGTCAAGACTGCCAACATAAGTGTAGTTGTGGGGTAGAAGCTCGATGTGATCATGTGACTGGTACTTGCATTTGTCCAGAAAATGCTGGTCCATCATGTGTTGGAGGTAAAACTTACAACATAACTTTTTATAAAACTTCATTTACAGTATATTACATGTTCAGAGTTGTTTAAAATACAGTGATATTGTAAGTCTTAAACATTTATAAAGTCATTTAAAGTAAACATCTTGTGACTGGAGGTAGTAAATACTAGAGAAAACTAGATTAATTAATCTAATTAAGAGAACATTAATTTTTCAGCAGCCAGCATTGACAATTTTTTATGTGAATATTTTTGAACAGAAAAGCTATATACTTTTAATATTCATCAGGATTCAACTGCCTAAATGTAAATAGTACTTACTTTTTTTTATAATTACTCTAAAAGATTTAAAAGCAATTTTGTTCTTGCTTTCCACCAGGCTGTCCTCCTGGTCATTGGGGTAAGGATTGTAAAGCTAAATGTCACTGTATGAATGGAGCATCCTGTGATCCAAAGTCAGGAAAATGTCACTGTCCCGGAGGTTATTATGGTAAACTCTGTGACAAATGTAAGTAATGTGTTAGATGATGAGGCTATCAAATCTTACAAATAGTGTGAAGTATCTTTTAGTTTTGGGTAAAATTCAACCACTTACTTTTCAGATGAAATTGAAACTCCCAATAAATCAGTAGTCTTTATAAAAACAGTGGTATTTCATATATTAAAATTTAAATTAATGTTGAATAAGTTTGTTTTTTAAACTTATTGTTATAGATTTATGTCAGTTGTTTCCAAAGACTTGTTTAAAATCAAGCAGTACAGCCCCTTTCAAGTACAAAGTACTGTAACATAATTCTAAAAATAGTAGGCTTTCTAGCTTTAAGACTTCATATTGCAAGACGTTTGATGCTGCACATTTCTTTCTTTGCTGTTGATAACTATGTCTTCTTTGGTTTTGTTTTCTTTTACAAAATTAGGTTTAATGCTTTACATTTTTGACTTTATTATTGGTATCCTTGTTTTTTCTTCTTTTCCAGAATAGTTGATCTAATGCTTTACATTTTTGTCTAAAAAGTACTGAGTAATTTTTAGCCACAGCATAGCTGCTCCAAGAGTTGTTCTGAGTTGTTTTTTATTTGTTTTTTTTTCAAGTACAAACTTTTAACTCATAACTCCAGACTGATTTGAGATCTAAAATATTTTTGGACTCAGGAAGTCAAACCTTTTCGAATGATGTATTTGACCAAGCCCAAGGTTTCATAGATTAATTTACTCTAATCCTGCCTAAAATAATTTTAATTTGAGGGTAGGCTGGTAGAGATCCTGATGAGTAATAAAACTGAATCGGGTATATGTGCACCTCATGCTTGGTATTGCTGGTGCACAAAAATATTGCTAATGAAAAGGAAAAAAAGTCTCAGATAAATTTATTCTAATCCTGCCTAAAAGGCTATTGAGGATTCCCTCTTGTTTTTTGTACCAAAGGTAATATATTTTTTTGGATCATATAGCTGGCAAAATGCATGTAAGTGTGAACATAATAGATGATTTTCTCGAAAGCCAGTTTGTACTTCAACTAAATATTTGACCATGCATCTTGTTTTTCTTTTATTTTACACAATGTTTAACCAATATATTGAATGTACACAGTGTAGAAATACTTTTTCTGTGATTGAAAAAGAATTTCGATTTTTATAAGAAAAAAAATTCATTACAACTATATATATCATAAAGTTAAAAACAAAACTCTAGGAAGATTTATGGAACTTCAATAAAAAACTAAAAAATGACAATATGTGTTAAAAAAGGGAAAAACCAAAAATTTCCCTTAAAAACTCTTTATGTGTATCATTAAAATCATACATTACATTTCTGACTGACACGTTTGTCAAATATAGAAAATTAATAATACTTGACTAACTGAATATTGCTGAAATTGTGTGTGTAAAACACTTACGTATTCATACTATGTGGCTCTTTACAGTATGTCCAAAAGGGTTCTATGGTACAAACTGTGAGAAGCTTTGTGGGTGTCAGAATGGAGCAAAATGTCATCCAGTGACTGGTCATTGTCACTGTAAACCAGGTTATAAGGGAGGATATTGTGAAAAAGGTATGTTCGAAACAAAAATCGACAGATGCTTTCATTACAAACTATTCAGTACAATCAACAATTTAGAGGATTTTTAGACTGTGTGCTTTACGGATTGCATCTACTTGAAGTGTACAAGTGACAATGTTTCGTATCTGTGCTGTAGCGAAGGCTTCAGCAAATAGATCCTAATGTCATCTACTCCTACACTCGGTACAGCTACAATCCATGAAAACCTAATACAGTACCAATCACCACAGAAACTTATACTATTTGTATTGACATGTAAATGTAATTCCTATTAATAACCCTGAGGATAGGTTAATGTGTGCCAATTAGATTTTTTTTGTTTAATTTTTAACAGAATATTACAAATGCATCAAATATAAGGTTTAGGAGCTGTTTAACGAAACATAATTATTTAACCCTGTGCTAACAGCTGGGTGAAAATACATATGTCATGACCTTTTACAGAGTTAAGTAAAAATTTAATTCAACAATTTTATTATCAATGTATGTCAATAAGCTTGGCAACAAAATGTAGTTTAAAATTCAACTCTTTATATTATCTAAGTTTTAATTTCTTAACCTTAAAAGAAATATTTAAATAAATTCTAAATCGTCATTGCTCTGTTCCTTTTTTTCTCTTCCACCTCACTTTGTCTTTCAAGACATGTTTATAATTTTTTGCTCAAATTGCTATTGGATATGTTTATAACCAACAGAAAGAGCATATTTTCCTTTACAAAATTCCTGTACAGTTAATCCATTATGGCAGCTATAAGTAGACCAGTAGTTAATGGAAGTTTTTTAACATATTTATCTCTTAGTTAGAAAACCAGTTAAATTACAGTAGTTTCGGGACATTCTGTTCTAGTGCCTGATAAACTTTTTGTGTTCTGATATGCATATTTGAAAGCATCGTGTTACTTTGTAGACAACCAACATAATGTGAAAAAGTAATGTTATCGAAGCAAGCTCCCTAGTACGAATAGGCCTCAAACCTAATGCAAGTCCTAAATTTCTTGTTTTTTATGTATATGTTTTCAATTATTATTATATATATTTTAATAAAAACTAACTAAAATGTAAAAATTAGAAACTTTTTAGGTTAGATAAGAAAACATCAATTAAAAACATTTCAAGAGATAAGCTTGAGCTACTTTTGTTGCTTGATTTGTATCCTGATCGTGAGTGATAGTTCATTTACCCTATTCTCTGCCACTGTTTCATAGCTTTCCACCCCTAGGAGGTGAATAGTACACTTAATGTACAGTAATAAAACTGATAGTAAACAGATCTGAAAAGGCTTGAAGCTCAGTCTATTTGGATAAATAATTGTTATTATCTGTTACAATCTACAGTCATTCTAGAGAAAAAAAGTATTATTGATTCTGTTTCATTGATGATTTTCCTACAGTTAGGGTTAGAGTGGAGATAAAACATAATATTTTACTGAAAAACCTTTGATATTAATTTAGGAAGTTCTAAAGGTTATCCAAATGAAATATGGAAATATTTCAGTTTTATCATGAAAGTCTCCTTTCACCCATACTGACTCAGTAAAGGCTTTGCAAATTCACAGACACACCTTTATAGAAATACTTTATTAAAAATTCTGAATTTTTTGTGTAAAACAAACTTGTAATACTTAAAATAAAAGCTTGCCAAATTTCATGAAAATACTTACAGTAATTTCAGAATTATCGCAAACATTACCATGTATAGCTTTGTTGAAATAAGGAATAAGTAAGATGAAAAAAGAACCCAAAAAAGGTTGAATTCATTTAATTCTATATTATCTTAAATAAAGTTTTCATGAGTGTGATCTGCATCTTATGCAGTAACAAGTGGTCTTAGCTTTATTTTTCTTCTTGACTATCTCGTAATGTACATCAAAGGTTTTTTCCAGTTTCTGTGTTAATTTGTATCAACAAAACACAACAAGCTGCTAATGTTTTAAAGGCTATACATTTTAATTATATATGTATCATTTGTTTATTTTCAGTTTGTCCTTTTGGGTTTTATGGGAAACACTGCATGCAGGAATGTAAATGTAAGGATGGCCAACCTTGTCATTATATTACAGGAGACTGTAGTTGTCCTCCTGGTGAATCAGGACAACAATGTGAAATTGGTAAGCTGTGTAATTGTGAACCAAAATTCAGACTATGCAATAGAAAAATGTTTAGACGACTCTTTAATATGGCAGGAGCTTCCCTTTTAGTGCAACTAGTATTAGGCTTTCCATTTATATGTTATTCAAGACAGTAGATCTTTTATGAGTATATAATTTTAATTTGTATCATTTCAGAAACTTATGGCTCAAAGCAACAAACCTTCCACTAGCTTGTAATTCAAAGTAACAAACCCACCACTAGCTTATAATTCTAGAAACTTGCTCTTAGCTATCTTTTGTAACTCAATGAATCAAATCCTCCACTATTTATAGCTCAAAATAACAGACTCTTTACTAGGTTAAAACTCAAATCATTAGATCGCCCACTAGCTTAAAATGCAAAGCAACAAATCCTCCACAAGCTTGTAAGTGAGAGCAACAAACCCTCCACAAGTTTGTAAGTCAGAGCAACAAAACTTCCACAAGCTTGTAAGTCAGAGCAACAAATCCTCCACAAGCTTGTAAGTCAGAGTAACAAATCCCCCACAATTTTGTAAGTGAGAGCAACAAACTTTCCTATAGCTTGTAAGTCAGAGCAACAAATCCTCCACAAGATTGTAAGTGAGAGCAACAAATCCTTCATAAGTTTGTAAGTCAGAGTAACAAATCCCCCACAATCTTGTAAGTGAGAGCAACAAATCTTCTACAAGCTTGTAAGTGAGAGCAACAAATCCTCCACAAGCTTGTATGTCAGAGTAACAAATCCTCCACGAGTTTGTAAGTCAGAGCAACAAATCCTCCACAAGTTTGTAAGTGAGAGCAACAAATCCTCTACAAGCTTGTAAGTGAGAGTAACAAATCCTCCACAAGATTGTAAGTGAGAGCAACAAATCCTCCACAAGCTTGTATGTCAGAGTAACAAATCCTCCACGAGTTTGTAAGTCAGAGCAACAAATCCTCCACAAGTTTGTAAGTGAGAGCAACAAATCCTCTA